TGGTAAAGCCGGCCGGGGCGTGACGCTGACCACTCCCCCCCATCTAGTGCCGAGGTCAAGGAAGAGAGGAGCTATCCCTCCACTCACCCCAAACGCCTACATGGAGTATAGTGGGACAAACTTTACTTTTTACTGAGATTAAGTCAATCGACTCTGAAAATAAATATAAAAGAACCAAGACAAATTTAGTGTCTTTGTTACATTTATTGACAATAACTGATAGAAGACTGTTGACAACTTTGCACAAATTACTACACGGCCTTCCAGTTTATAAGTGTGTGCAGACTTTCGTACAAAATTATTTATGATTCGAAACAGCAGTATTAAAAGCCGTCCCACTATACATCATATAGTCGCTCGGGAGGGAGAGCCGGTATAGCTCCTACTCATTCTTAACGTCGGCACTAAATGGGGGTGAGTGTTCAGCGTCACGCCTAGGCCGCGAGGTTCATCCCCAGGAAAGGATCCCGGTACCCATTGGATAGGAGGCTGGGTGGGCCCCAGACCCGAGAGGAAAAATCCTATGCCCATTTCCAGTATTCGATGTCTATAACAATTAACTCTCTCTCCATGAAGCGTAGTCTTTGTTGAGAAGCTGATAGTTTCAAAGCTGGCTTATCCCCACCTTTTAAGGAGCCGGAGGTTTCATTACTATATTCACAATGGCCCATCTCTTAGACCGTTCCCTAAGCTTCATGAATTCAATTCATACATTATTTTCATAATATTACCACTCTCAATGAACCATTCAACAAAGGACCAACAAATCTAAAGCTCGTGGTAGGGATCAGGGAGCTGCTTTCGTGTTTGAGGCTTGGGGCGTTTCTCTCTCGTAGTCCACCTGCAAAGTGCCAGTATTTTGCTTGGGCAGTGTTCCGAGAAACACTGTGCTAGGGTGAAAATGAACTGCCACACTGTACTCCCGCTGGTTTTACAAAGTACTCTTTCCTATCCCAATTTGAACAACTTTGTTCGGAATGTTAATATACCTTCTTCATTAAGTCACTCAATCGCTTTAATTTTGACAACAGTGTGACTGAAAAGTTACGGCCATGGCTTAACAGAGGAGGAGGAGATTTATCCTAAGAGCAGGGGTAGAAGTGGAACCAACACTCATAGCTCACGCATTTTTCTGAGCTTTAGGAAAGCTGAAGTCTAGTTGATAGACGACGTCAGCCTACAACAGAATAAGGTCGTTTTTTCCTCCTTCGTACGTTAATTCTTTTCACAGTTTTCTTTCAGTTTATAAAAAAATAATGAAAAAATACTACCAATGTCATATTTCAACCTTTTCGTCACTCACATCATGGGTACTTTCAAAAAAAGCTTATTAATGGAAGTAGTACTTGTAAAATAGAACGTTTTGCCATCTAGCGTCATAGCTGAAGACTTACAGGAGTCTGTTTTCGCAACCAAGAATACATCAAAGCAAACAGCAAAATGATACTGAAGTTGCAGTTAAGTCATCCATTCTTAGACTGGGCGAATAATATGTGCTAATTTAATGTTATGACATACTTGGAACTGGTCGATCCACTTTTTAGCAGTTTGGTGAATTCCGACATATCGACGTTCTCTGCCCACCGCTAGGGGCGCCAGCGTCATATGTCAGGACTCCGACATCTGAAAACAAAAACAAAATTAACAGTTCTTGTATGCAACTCATACAAACGGCAATCTAACTCTGTACACTGAATTATGTCAAAATGAGGTACGCTGGCCAACTGATATTCCGTCCCTTAACTTTCCAAAGCTTTTGTAACGATGATTTCGACGACATATTTATTATACCTACTATTTTCTAACAGATGTACCACCTACTATTATTACTGCAGGGATTGAAAAACAACGGTCCACGGCGATATTATGATATTAATAGTACTGACCTTCATTAACTGTGCTATAATACAACAAATAATCAAAACAGACACAAATCTATATTTCACTCTGAATTCATGCGTCAGGGACCCTATGAGGTTTGGTTTAATACGTGTCTTAACCCCTCGAGGACACTAATTAGAGTTTAGGAGAGTCGTAATTAATTACTAGCATGTAATTATTATACGTTTTAATGTCTGTATGTTCAGATGGTGAGACATATTCGGTGAAAATATAAAAAAAATAACTACATAATTGTTCTTGAAAATCTCCTACGCCCCTGGTCACTTTAAATAGACTCACTAGGTCCTCAGATAAAACATAATTGCCAACTCCTTGTACATTGTCTATTAGAGTCAGGAACTTCCTTTATGCGAGTCGCTGGCGCTAAGAGGGTATGACACTAGACGGAGGTGAGTGGACAACTGCAACCCCGAGGAAAAAACATTCTCCCTGAAGAGGGGGCGGGGAGTACATATTCACCGCAGCGTGATGTTTATGCTGTTTCATACAAATCCGCCACCCCAGAAGTTATTAATGTGGTACAGACATACGAGGTGCGATCGGAAAGTTTCCAGACTGTGTCAATAGAGGGCGAAACGGATGTAGTACGAGCTTCTGCCGCTAGGGGGTGCGGCCTACATTCATAGTGAATCAGTGTGCCAGCCGGCATCATCGAATTAGCATTTGTTTCTCAGTTACGGGCGTTTTGGTAGTGCATTACACCGACCCTCCTGCAATTTCGGAATGGCGTGTACATCAAATTTTGCCAAAGACTCGCCAAAACGGCTACGGAAACCTATGAAATGCTAAAGCAAGCATTTGGGGAGTCCGCAATGGGTCGTGCACAAACTTTTGTGAGGCATTC